AAGTACACCCTAGATCGTGAGACCGAGACAGGTAAATTTGAAAATAGGAAAGGAAGAGGTAGAACACCTAAATCATTGATATTGATGTTAAGTATCCTCTTTTATGCAGCCTTTGAGAAAGAAGGAAGACTTCCACTGATCTCAAACATGAGATAAATGACCATGTACCAAATGACAGAAAAGTGGCCAGATCTACAGTATCAAAAAGACTCAACGAGAATGGAATATTTGGTCATGTAGCAGTTAAAAAATCTTTACTTTGATCTCCAAATATTTTCAAGAGACTGAATTTTGCTAAAAAGTACAAAAACTGGACTGTTCATAATTGGAAAAGAGTGTTATGGACGGATGAGCCCAAGTTTGAAATATTTTGTTCAAAGCATAGGTTGTACATCCGGTGGAAGAAAGGTGAAAGATACTTACCTCAATGCATAGCACCTACAATGAAGCATGGGGGAGGCTATGTGATGGTTTGGGGGTGTTTTTATACTGAGGGCACAGGAGATATTTGCAAAATAGATGGAATAATGGACCAGAGTAAGTACCATCAGATACTGATCCATCATGGTATACTCAGTGGTTTGCGTACCATTGGTAAAGGATTATACTACCAGGAAGATAATGACTCAAACAATCATCCAAACTATGCAGAAATTACTTAGCTAAGACAGAACGTGCTAGAGTCATTCAAATGATGAAATGGCTCCACAGAGCCCTGATCTCAACCCAATTGTGCAGATCTGGGGTTTGATAGATAAAAAACTTGACAAATCACTGGTTACTTCCAAAGAAACTTTATGGGAGTATATTAGAGACATTTGGAGTAAATTCCCAAAGGACACTTTAATTAACTATGTTGCAACAATGCCTGAAAGACTATCTGCAGTTATTAAAGCAAAAGGAGGACACACAAAATATTAACTGTTTGCTGAGCTCAAGCACTTTTTTTCTACGACTAACCATTCTGGGGATACAGGACGTGACAAATAGACAGAAAAACATTTGGCTAATATATATTTAGATGGCTAAGAACTTCTTACACTAGGTTTACAGTATTCTAGTGTTGCTAACGTAAACATGTGACCTTGTTATCGACAACTACCTTCATGTTTTGACCAGTATTATTGGCCCATAGTTAGGGTAGTAACAACTACTATATATAACTATTGTAAATGATCTGTAGTAGTCAGTAGCAGTATAATGTTTTCTACTCAAAGAATCTGTTACGTTTTTATAAAAAGCTTAAAGTAGATAATGGCGTCACTTACCAAAAGAACTTCTTTTGAAGGGTAGGTGAAAATTTGAATATTATTACTAAAAGAGAAATACATGTACAGCAAAATTTCAGCTTTGCATGCGCACTAAACGTAACAAAACGTATCAGACAGTTGAGAAACAAAGAGATGAGTTTGAAATAAGGCGGAATATAGAGTTTTAATAACAACATTATATATCATGTTTGGGGTGTTTTACCTCAATGCTGGAACAGGTACAAACAGTGATAGTTTTAATTCGACATTAATATCTGCGAGACTTTTGTGTATATTTCTTTAATACGTATAATTTATGTTTAGGTTTCTTACCAACCCATTGTTAGGGGAGAACTTTAAAGAGATTATTTAAAAATTTATAAATGAACTCAGGGGTTATTGCGATTGAATGATATACAGTAAATTTTCCAAGATTTATTATTTGTATATATATATATTAATATTGTGTTGAAATTCCTAATGCGTTTTCACGTTCTGCGATGTAAGTTATACAATTACAGTTCAAAAGTTTATCATCTTTACAAAACTTAATATATTTATTCTTACTATCAGTTGTATGTAGATGGGCAGACAGATAGACATACCTGTTTGTCTCACTAGAAGATTGTAACACGAGTGCTAATATACTGAAGCTGATTTTTCTGTTTTATAGTTTATTATAATTACTTTTATTTGATTATTGTGAAGTACAAATCGACACAATGGGCTGTCTGTGCTCTTCCTACCGTGGCTATCAAAACCCAATGTTTAGCGTTGTAAGTCCTCAGATGTACCACTGAATCTCCAGTGAGAGACTCTATAGATACGACAAATAGATATTTCTCTTTTTTTGGACTGTAGTTTGAGTTTTCTATTTTTACCGGGTTTTCTTTGTTCTAGTCAGTTTTACATAGTAAACCCATGTAAATGTATTACAGGTAGTATCCATAAACAGAGTTAAGTAAGTTAGAGCAACTGTTAACCATAGTTTATCCAAACTGTCTATTTTCTTTTCACTGTCAGCTCTCAAAGGCAATGAATAAGGCTATAAAAATACATTAACTGTAGGTACTGTGTGTTCTGCAGTCGAATATTTTTACATTTTGAGCAAATTAACCATTGTAAATATATGCGTTAGTAAAACAGTAAGATACTTATTTCGATGTTTCTCGTACAGCAATATCATCTATGTTTTGTTTTAGATTGTCGAGTTACAGGAACAGCAAAGAAAAGCATGTGATATAATCAGAAATGGACAGAAGTGTTCCGTTGCTCCAGAGGAAAGTAAAATATATGATCAAGGATGAAAATGGTTAACAACGTTGAGTATATTTAACTAAGTTCATAATAAAGTTATATGTTTGGAACGGACTTACCGGAAATTAAGATACGTGACTCACAATAAAAGTAGCTTTCTTCGGCGATCGAGGATAGACAAGTAGTTTGTGCTGACTCTTAGAAAACGGTTACTTAAGTGTCTGCATAATTAACATCTCTAACATAATCAATTAACTAAACAACTGTGGGTTATCTGTAAATTGACGTGCTATAGGAAAGTTAACATGATTATGTACGAGAGAGAGGGAGAAGTTTGTTCTACTACATTGTTTAGGGCTCACTTCCAAAACTGAAGAAACGGAGCTCGAGACATAAACACAGTCTATCAATAAGTAAATAGATATCCATGCCAGAAAAAAATGTCGCTGTATTAAATAAACAAACCATGGGCAAAGAGTACAATATTATTACTCCTATTTAGTAGATCTGCTTTTTTCAATATTTATGGCAGAAACACGGTTACTTATAGTATTTACGAGATATGAAATCTGGGCCTGTAGGATTTCACCCCAATCCTTGCGAAGAACATGAACGGGGGATGTCCCTGGAAGTTAGTTGTTCTGGAGATTTATTCAGAAAAGGATCAAGGATGGACCACTCATGCTCAATAGGATTCATATCCGATGAGTAGCCTAGCTATGAAAGAGTTGTAATGCACTAGCCATCATTTTGTGATTCGGGCTGAATGACCAGGAACCCCAATAAAGATGAAAATATTGCCTTGTCTGGTAAGATGGTCACTGGTATAGACAGGTATAAGTTCTTGCTCGAGGTTTGCCATGTATCAGGCAGCAGTGACCGTCCTTTCGCATATTAATAATATGTCATCGTCCATCTGCTCAAACCGCATCGCATGTCGTGGCTTGAAGACAGTTCAACGAAGTTCTTCTGAGAATAATCTCCAAATACAACCTGGTCTATTATCCGCGAATTGTACGAACATGGACTTCTCGGATAACAATCACGGTGTTCCAAAAGACATTAGGATGTGATAACATTTGTGATGCCCTCTGCTGTTGGCGTATGATATTGCCTGGAGTGAGGAGTGGCTTCCATCTAACTAGTCTACCATTAGCCAATGATGTAAAGATAACTAATGATAATACTGGGACATATTTCCGCTTGTCCTTTGTTATAGGTCATTCTCCATACGTCTTCACAACACAAAATAGTGCAACCTTTGTTATAGGTCATTCTCCATACGTCTTCACAACACAAAATAGTGCAACCTTTTGTTATAGGTCATTCTCCATACGTCTTCACAACACAAAAGAGTGCGAACCTTTGTTATAGGTCATTCTCCATACGTCTTCACAACACAAAATAGTGCAACCTTTTGTTATAGGTCATTCTCCATACGTCTTCACAACACAAAATAGTGCAACCTTTTGTTATAGGTCATTCTCCATACGTCTTCACAACACAAAATAGTGCGACCCTTTGTTATAGGTCATTCTCCATACGTCTTCACAGCTCAGAAGAGTGCAACCCTTTGTTATAAGTCATTCTCCATACGTCTTCACAGCTCAGAAGAGTGCAACCCTTTGTTATAGATCATTCTCCATACGTCTTCACAGCTCAGAAGAGTGCAACTCTTTGTTATAGGTCATTCTCCATACGTCTTCACAGCTCAGAAGAGTCAACCCTTTGTTATAGGTCATTCTCCATACGTCTTCACAACACAAAATAGTGCAACCCTTTGTTATAGGTCATTCTTCATACGTCTTCACAACACAAAATAGTGCAACTCTTTGTTATAGGTCATTCTTCATACGTCTTCACAACACAAAATAGTCATTTTGTTGGCTATGAGCGCCTGCACTGTATAGAAACGTTTTTTAAGCAACTGTAGCTACATTTTCACCTTCCTTATACACTATGGACAATGGTATTGCAAAAGATCTGACGATTTCTTTCTGACTTCGATCCCCCATCCTATCGCCAAACTGTTTGGCCTCGTAACTAAGAATCGGATTCTGGTCGGTCTAGAAAAATCCAAGAGTTGGTGGTAGATGCTGTAAAGTATCTGCCTTTTCTGTAGTATGTAAGCTCAAAATTAGGGACTACTTTGAATATATAGTCCCTTGTTTATCTTTCTAGAAATTCTGTTAAAACCTGCTCGTCTCAATTTTTGCTTAGAAAGATTTGTAACTTATAATTATCCAGATTGAGTTTTCTGAAGTTATACTACATTCGTACATTTCTGTTATCATTATTTATAATGTGCTAGATACGTAGAAATGTGTCATGCCATTTACTGGAGAATTATTAGACTTTCTTGGAAGTGACACAGTAACCTGTTTAATTAAAGCTATTAAAAAACAGAAACTAAAATTTCTTGTAGTGTGTCATTTGGAAAAACGCACCTTTCTATTAGCGGCCTAGAGAATAGCATCTCCAGATTGCGAATTCGATGATTCATGGTTCGCGTTTCGTTGTCGTAAAAACGAGTGCAGACACTTTGGGGCCATGGGTATACTATAAGAATGATGGTCAAATCAAACTATTTGGTTACACAAGAGTTACCAAAAAGTTTCCGATGGACGCTGTTAACATTTCTTTATTTAGTCTATAGTCTAAATATAGTTTATAGTCTAAAACAAACAAACGAATAAAAAAACAACAGTAATTAGAGAAGTATTTACCTCGCCAAGTAAGAAAAACTATCTGATAAAAAATCATTGGTGTAATGATTTCCCTTCCGTTCCCTTCTCGTTTCTTTCTATGATGTTGTTTTGGTCAAGTGTCCGTTCCCTTCTCGTTTCTTTCTATGATGTTGTTTTGGTCAAGTGTCCGTTCCCTTCTCGTTTCTTTCTATGATGTTGTTTTGGTCAAGTGTCCGTTCCCTTCTCGTTTCTTTCTATGATGATGTTCTGGTCAAATGTCCAAGACTGTAAACCATGGTGGGAAAGTTAGGCCTAATTAATCACAAAGTAGTTAAGCCGCCTGTTTTGTTTGTTTGAATTTCGCTCAAAGGTACATAAGCTATTACCTAATAATGACTCAATACTATGGGTCCATGGTATCGAGTCATCATCAGGGAAGAGCTACATGGTTTTTAATGAAACTATAATGCGATAATGACTTAAACTATGGGTCCATAGTAAAAGTTTAAACAATTTGTATATATTTCTTGTGTTGACTATTGTTGACCCAACAGATTAAATTGAGCAGCCCGAAACAGCGCATGCGTTGGCCCAAAATGAGTATTAGCTTCTGAATTGAAACATACACTATAAGTTATTAGAGGCACAGTTTGCTTGTCATCCTGCTTTGAACATCTCACATGCGTTTGTTTATCAATACGAATATTTATCATACCTAAAAAACGTTTCGTGACGCGGTTTTTAAACATCGAATTAGTGCTATGAAAAGCGGTTGCGATATTTTATGCTATTAAACTGCACAAGCTCGGAGCTAATCGCCATGATTAGTTATTTTTTCAGGAAACCAATGCAAGTCTTTGGAAAGCCTAATTATGCTGTAATTGATGAATATGTTATATACAAACTTACTTGTAGCGCGCCAAAAGGTTACGTAAGAAAAAAAAAAATTGACAAGTGCATGTTCATAGCCGATAATAATATCCGTTCGTGGTCCGTGCTTTCCCTCGAGTACAGCTGCGGTGTCCCTACATTTACCTTTTTTCTGAAGTTGAACTCATGGACTCGTATTTAAATATATGTATTGTTTATAATGTGAATAAAGAATTTTTTGACTAGATAATGAGGGTTAGGCAAACAGAACATAAAGTCACGTGACAGTTAAGATAAATCCCTGAACGTCTGTAATGCACAAACATAGATATATATATAATATAGACCCAAGTGTCTAACTGTGTGTGTGTTACACATTACAAAATATTCAATCGAATAAGTTAACATTTACTCAGTGTCTGTAACATTACATTACAGTGTCTGTTACATTACATTACAGTATCTGTTACATTACAGTGTCTGTTACATTACATTACAGTATCTGTTACATTACATTACAATATCTGTAACATTACATTACAGTATCTGTTACATTACATTACAGTATATGTTACATTACATTACAGTATTTGTAACATTACATTACAGTATCTGTAACATTACATTACAGTATCTGTTACATTACATTACAGTATCTGTAACATTACATTACAGTATCTGTTACATTATATTACACTATATGTAACATTATATTACAGTATCTGTTACATTACATTACAGTATCTGTAACATTACATTACAGTATCTGTAACATTACATTACAGTATCTGTAACATTACATTACAGTATCTGTTACATTACATTACAGTATCTGTTACATTACATTTTTATTCACATTAAAATACTTCAATATCAATTTGTGTAATTAGGATGCTTTGAATGATTATATTCTTTTTTTCAAACTATTTTATTGCAGCTATTATTCAGATGACTTTATTTTTATTGGTAGGAATTGTAAGGAACTAAGTTTTATCTACCGATGAACGCTTTTAAACGTTTTTAGTAAGTTAGACAGTAGAAATTTAAAATGTTGCTCTATCGAAACATAAATGTTGATTTTCCCTTATAAAACTATCTACCTGTGCTCTTTTTCATTTGAATTTATTTAATAACTTATATTGCTGCAGTCGTTTTGTATTATAAACTTAAAATACTTTATTATTTTATTTCATAAACAGTGGTTACCAGAAAAGTTTGCCGACAGCGTCCTGCAACGAGAATACTGTTCCAATCAGACGAAATTTTTCTGAAAAATTTCCTAACTCCGTCAGCTCGCTTAGCACCGAGTCACACCTGCAGCAACGCAACGGGTGTTTTTCGACGTCCCCTCCATGCAGGTTATGTCGGATTTATCCGGTTCTCCACGTCATGCAGGGGACCGTGACTATCCACCACTGCCCTCTGCTCCCTCTCCCGGGCAAGTCCTATACAACAGTGAGGACCACTGTGACGTTATCCTTTTGGTTGGACAAGGGGAGAAGTGCTGGCGCTTTCCTGGTCATTCGTTTATTTTGTGCTCAGCTTCTCCTGTGTTTCAGTCGCTTTTGGCGCGTGAGGTGACAAATGGAGACTCTGTTAGTATCCTGAAGATCGAAGATGTTGAACCGTGTATCTTCGAAATCCTTCTAAGGTGTGATTTATAAAAATATCGTTAAATAATGAACTGAGAGAAAATTCAGTTACGTGTGATTTATAAAAATATCGTTAAGTAATGAACTGGGAGAAATTTCAGTTACGTGTGATTTATAAAAATATCGTTAAGTAATGAACTGGGAGAAATTTCAGTTACGTGTGATTTATAAAAATATTGTTAAGTAATGAACTGGGAGAAATTTCAGTTACGTGTGATTTATAAAAACATTGTTAAGTAATGAACTGAGAGAAAATTCAGTTACGTGTGATTTATAAAAATATCGTTAAGTAATGAACTGGGAGAAATTTCAGTTACGTGTGATTCATAAAAATATTTCTAAGTAATGAACTAAGAGAAAATTCAGTTACGTGTGATTTATAAAAATATTGTTAAGTAATGAACTGGGAGAAATTTCAGTTACATGTGATTTATAAAAATATCGTTAAGTAATGAACTGGGAGAAATTTCAGTTACGTGTGATTTATAAAAATATCGTTAAGTAATGAACTGGGAGAAATTTCAGTTACGTGTGATTTATAAAAATATTGTTAAGTAATGAACTGGGAGAAAATTCAGTTACGTGTGATTCATAAAAATATTTTTAAGTAATGAACTAAGAGAAAATTCAGTTACGTGTGATTTATAAAAACATTGTTAAGTAATGAACTGGGAGAAAATTCAGTTACGTGTGATTTATAAAAACATTGTTAAGTAATGAACTGGGAGAAAATTCAGTTACATGTGATTTATAAAAACATTGTTAAGTAATGAACTGGGAGAAAATTCAGTTACATGTGATTTATAAAAACATTGTTAAGTAATGAACTGGGAGAAAATTCAGTTAAGGAAACACCTTAAACGATATGACGTTAATAAAGTTTGTTAAGAAACTAGAATAAATGTGTTATTCACGTTTGTATTTATTAGATAACGACATAATACAGGAATGTTAACTCGGAAATATTTTTATATAAGAGAGAAAATTTAAGTCTCAAATAAAAGGAACAAAAGAAATACGAATGAAATAGAAAATGATTGATTTTATGTATTATTGCCAATGGCAGTAAACGGTAACTTGTATTGATCGGCTAAATGTATTAATATATATATATATACACATACTGGAGCCATGAAGAATAAAAATAGTTCTTTGTTATAAGCTAAGCGTTGTTCTATAATTATTGTACGTTTGAAATTTTAAGTTGTTGAGAGATTTTGTTTCTTTCAGGTATGTATATCGTGGAGCGGATGAGGTGAACCTTAATTCGGATCAGACAACAATGCAGCTGCTTACCGCGTCCAAAAAATATCTGTTACAGGAACTGTCTACCATCTGCCTCAAGTACCTGTGTGATCATGTAACAAAGGAAAATGTACTTGGGATATTAAGCTATTTGAAAAGATTATCAGGTAGCAGCGGTCACGACGAAGGGCAAAATTTGCAAAACGAACTATTAAACAAATGTGTTTCTATCATTGATGCCCACAGTGATTACGTGCTACTCAGTGGCGCTTTTGAGAATCTGGAGAAGGAGATCGTGATGGATATTGTTGCTCGGGATACCATCCAAGTACACTCAGAGCTAACAGTTTTTAACGCTTTGATGAACTGGGCTTGCCAAGAATGTAAACGCCAGAAAATAGAACTTACTTCTATGAACAAGAGAGCAGTTTTAGGAAAACTTTTATATTATGTTCGGTATTTGGTGATGAGTTTGGAGGAGTTTAGTTTGGGACCGGCCATCTCTGGAGCCCTTAGTGAGGAGGAGAAAAATAGCTTGACGAAACGTCTTAAGGGAGATTGCCTCTGTCCTCTACCCGATCAACTAAACGGGAGACGACAAACAATTAAGCGGCAGGGCTCTGCAGTTGCCGTCAGCACGACCGGTTCTTGTCATCTTGGTGCCGCCGGTCCTTCCGCTATTTCGCAGCCACCCTGTAAAACAAAGAAAAAGAAAAAAGCAACTCAGAAACTGGTCGAAGGTTTAGGCGACTTTTTCATTTACGCTATCCAGCTACTAGACTGATTAATCATGTTAGTTGGATTACTACATTACTTCAACATGTTATATTAAAATGGGTGAATTACTACATTACTTAAAGATGTTATATTAAAATGGGTTTTGTAAAAATATACCCATTTTAAACTAATATTTGACACTTTATTCTTCATGGAAGTATTTTGAAACTTAAGCTAAAAACTAACTACATTTGGGACAATTCACAGAAAGCAGGAGTTTACATGAAGCCTTACGTCTTACTGTAAGTTTGGATTTGTCCAATAAGAAAAAAAATCACATTGTAATCCAGGTCTTTATGAAAAAATCGCATGAAAATCAAGGTTTTTATTACAACCGTACATGGTAAGCCAGGTCTTTATGTAACACTTGTATGGAAATCCAGGTATTTATGAAAATCCCACATGATAATTCATGTCTTTATTAAAAACTTACATGGAAATCTAGTCATTATGAAACTTCTACACCAACTACTATGACCTGTTATGACTGAATGAATATCACAGTTTTGGGGAGTTTAAATACTTTTTCAGTACCACTAATACAAGCTTTTACCCGACTTAAGAGAGGGGTATAAAATTGTGACAATGTAAAAACCCTTTTCCAACTATTTCTTTATCCCTAAGATATACAACACACAATAGATAGTAGCATGATTGTGTTAGATTGATAATACATTAGGCTTAAAAATTGCGCTATGGAAACGTAAAATATAAAATGTTAGCGTAAACTTTTATTACAATGAAAAAAGCTACGTCTACTTGTGTATGTTGTTGTACGGAGACTACATACTGTATTAAACTTGTCGATAGTTTTGGTTATACAAAATTAGTAATAAATAACGTTAATTTTGGGACAATTCGTTTTAAACTAAAACTGAAACCCAAATCATTCGTTATATAGACTTAAAATATAGCTTAAATTTATTGTTGACTTTTATTTATTAGATGAAAATGCTAATGTGAAAAGATTATAATAATTGAAAAAGATTCATTTGAAAAAATGTGATTATCAAGAATATTTACACTTAATGCTGTTGTTCTGTTGGAGTTTCGAACAAGTACATTTTCAACGTGATCTTAGATTTTAAACTAACAAACTGCTTTTAAGTCATATCATATTGAATTAACTTAGGCTTAGAAATTAGATAAATTACTACTAAATAAATAGGAGAGCCTGAACACTTTTTGGAAGATCTGCCTTCCACAACTACTATGTTTCTATAATTTATAATATTGTGCATACACCTCTGAGTTGACTTCCTTTAGGTATGGTGTATTAGTTTAATAAAGGTTAGAGTTAGTGTAAAGGTTGAAAAGTTTAGAGGCGACTTAGTACATAGTGTTGAATGTGTAGAGGTTGAAAAGTTTAGAGGCGACTTAGTACATTGTGTTGAATGTGTAGAGGTTGAAAAGTTTAGAAGCGACTTAGTACATAGTGTTGAATGTGTAGAGGTTGAAAAGTTTAGAGGCGACTTAGTACATGATGTTGAATGTGTAGAGGCTAAAAAGTTTAGAAGCGACTTAGTACGTAGTGTTGAATGTGTAGAGGTTGAAAAGTTTATAAGCGACTTAGTACATGGTGTTGAATGTGTAGAGGCTAAAAAGTTTAGAAGCGACTTAGTACATAGTGTTGAATGTGTAGAGGTTGAAAAGTTTATAAGCGACTTAGTACATGGTGTTGAATGTATAGAGGTTGAAAAGTTTAGAGGCGACTTAGTACATAGTGTTGAATGTGTAGAGGTTGAAAAGTTTAGAGGCGACTTAGTACATAGTGT